CTAAGTTTTTGATTTGAAATGAGCTCGTCATACCCAGCCGACAAAAGTCGGCCTCTCTTTTTGAGGTCAAGTTCCTACGGGCCGGCCATGGCCAGCCTCCAGCCACTGCGAGTGGCCCAGGCAGCAGGAAGTGGACCGCAAAAAGAGAGGGCGATCTTTGAGGTTGGGTTGTCGACCTCATCTCCAAACCTAAACCTTAATTTTTTTTTTGTCCGAAACGCGACCTAATAAAATAAGGCTTTGGCTTGAAGATGAGGTCGACGGCGGACACCTCAGAGCCAAGCATCTCTGTGGCTGGCCAGGAAGGTGATCTACCTCTGCCTCCGCACGTCGCCGCGCAAGATTGCGGAGCGAGATCCGGAGGCAGAAAAGACGGGCGCCCTGCCATATGCTCCAAGTAACTTGCAGGGCCAGGTAGGTTGTCTGGGCACGATGTGGGCGAACATACCGGCCCAGAACAGCTCCACACTTTCAGCCACAAAAAGGAGGGCAAAGCGAAAGCAAAGACCTATTTTATTAGCTCGGGGGAAGCTCCCGAAAAAAATAAGTTTTTGCTTCGATTGTGGTGAGCCTTTTCGGAGCAAAACCCTGACCAAAACCCTGCCGCTTTGGCGGCAGCCATCACAGGGACAGGCATATCCGTCGTTGGCCGTTAAGGTGCTCTACCTCTGCCTCCTCCCGTCGTCCCGCAAGATTGTGGAACGAAATCCGGGGGCAGAGAAGCCGGGCGCCCTGCCAGTTGCTCCAGGTGGCTTGCTCTTGCACGACGAAGCAGGCCGCCTCGACACGATATGGGCGAGCATATCGGCGCAGCTCGGCTCCGCACTTTCGGCCACAAGATGAAGCACAAAGCGAAAGCAAAACCGTACTTTTCTAGGTCGGGGGAAGCCCCCGGGAAAAGTAAGTCTTTGCGCCCATGTCCGTGAGCCTCTTCTGAGCAAAACCCTGGCCAACCTCTTGCCGCTTTGACGGCAACCACTCCAGGGACAAGCATCTCTGTGGTTGGCCAGGAAGGTGCTCTACCTTTGCCTCCGGATGGCGTCCCGCAAGATTGCGGAACGGGATGCGGGGCCAGAGAAGCCGGGCGCCCTGCCATTTGCTCCAGGGAACTCGCAGGAAAAGGCAGGCCGCCAGGCCAAGATATGGGCGCCCGCGTCGGCCCAGTTTAGGCCACCAAGTTCGGCCGAAAGGGGGGGGCCAGGGCAAGGGCAAAGGCGTAAGCGTTAGCCCGGGGAAAGCTCCCGGAAAAAGTCAGAACCTGCTTCCATTTTGGTGCGCTTTTGTCATGAAAAGGCCTAGCCGAGAACTTGCCGCCTTGGCGGCAACCGGGACCCGGCCAAACCTCCAGCCGGGCAAGCCCGCAGCTGCTCAGCCTCTTCCCCCGGACCCCGATACGCGCCACCGCAGGATGAGATCTGGGGGCGGAGAAGCCGGGCCAGCAGCCCGGCGCCCCAAATACCTCGCGGCGGATGGCATGCGTCTGGGGTTCTTCTGGGGAGGTGCCGAGGCTAATATCTTGGCCAGCAGTCCAGGTCAACAGAAGCCGAGAAAAATGCCGCCGCGGCTTCATCGTATTCACCCAGGGGAGAGGTTGGAAGCAGCAAGCGCGCGGCCTCCATTTTGCCCGGCTTCTGCTGGTCTGGATACCGGCCGAGATGTTGATATCGGCGCAGCGAGCTTTTTCGGCTGGATGGTCTGCGCTTTCCTTTTCCATTCAGAGCGAAGAGAAAAAAAATGAAAAATCGCAAGTCAAAACCTTGACCAAAACCTTAATTCTTTCAACCCCTAATTACAACACGATCTGCTCGGACATCAGCCACTTCAAGCGTTTGCAAAACTGGGAATTCATCGTTTTGGACGAGGCGCATTTGATCAGGAACTACAAATCGCAAAAGTGGCAACTGCTTTTACCCCTCGTGTCCCAAGCGCGGTTACTGCTTATGAATTGCAAAAGCATCGTACTCGTCGTATAAATGCATTACAAATATCGATATCCTCATAATGAGAAATAAAATTTGTAATGCAGATTTACGCTCCTGAGAAAAAGATTTGTAATGCATGACTGCCATACGAGTGCGATACTTTTGCGCTGCATACTGCTCACCGGGACGCCATTGCAGAACGATCTGATGGAATTGTGGGCGTTCTTGCATTTCTATGAGAGTGCACAACTCGTCCCCCTCCCCCTCGGTTGGATACCATGAACGGCAACACAAGCACCAGCAAGAGTGGCGGTTTTGCATGACAAATTTGCACTTGAGTGTGGTGCTCTTTGGGCTACCAGAACTTGTCATGCCAACAGTGCCAAGAGGCAAAGGGTAGATTGGGTATTCTGCATGACAAATGAGGAGGAGCGGGAGTTGTGCACTGTCATAATTTCCTGATGCCGCACTTGTTCGTCTCGCACCAGGACTTCAAAGAGTGGTTTAACAACCCCTTGGTGCAGTTTGTTGAGTCGGCCGCCGCGGAGGAGGAGGGAAAGAAGGGTCGCTTGGACGTGTCCTTTTTGAAAAAGGACTTGAACAAGAAGAACCCAAGTTCTGTTGTTTCAGGCACAGGAATATCAAATGCAAAAATGTCTGGGTCTGGAAGAATGCAAGACTTGTCATGCATATTTCTCATGACCCAGGATGCCTGTAATGCATGACCTAGCATCGCAGACCTGCAGAGGGCTTCCTGATGCGCCTGCCGCATGAGAAATGCCCTGTCCGTGTAACACAAATTGCGCCCCTCTTGCTGGTCACGCGATACAAATTTTTTTAGACTCCAAAAACAGCATAACAAGTTGCAATCTTCCAGACCCAGACATTTTTGCAATCCATAAGGAAAAAATGCCTCGTCTTCATCTGCAGGAGCAAATGACCAGCAAAATAACATCGTCGACCGGCTCCACCGACTGCTCCGCCCGTGCATTCTCCGCCGGTTGAAAAAGCAGGTGGAGAAGGAGCTGCCCGCGAAAATTGAGCACGTGGTCCCCTGCGGGCTGTCAAAACGACAGCGGTTTCTGTACGACGAGTTCATTAATCGCAGGTACGTCCAGCAGGTCATGCAGAAGGAGGGCAAGAAGGACTATCTGGGCAAAATGCACGTGCTGATGCACTTGCGGAAAGTGTGCAACCATCCGGACATGTATCCAGGAAAAGACAACAATCACCATCCATTTTTTGCATGACAAATAGTGGACTTTATGCATGTTTTGCATGACAAATTGGATGGGGTTGGGTGTTTTTTCCTGGATAACATGTTTGAGCCGCGGAAGGTGCAAATCCCCTTCGCAATGAAGGATGTGATCCGCTTTGTCGTGCCGGAAATCGTTTTTGTTGATCTTCTACAAGAGGAGCCTGGAGGACGAGCACGAGGTGGCTCTTTCTTGCCGAGAGGACGTCGTGGCGACGTTCGCGAGACGAGCAGGGGATTCGGACTCAACAAGCTCTTAAACCTCCTCGTGTCCTCCAATTATCCTGGAGATCATGTAAATGCTCCGACGAGCCGGAATTATCATCACAACAACGCAAACCAGAATCTGTTCGAAGCCCGGAGAATACGGCTGGAAAGTCTTTATCTGAAACCACGATGGAAAAGGGGTAAAGCCAGCAAAAGGCACGATATGTCTGAGTCTGTGTCAGACTCAGACTCCAGCTTTTTGGATTCTTCTTTCCCGCCAACCTCCTCCTTCTCAAACCTTCTCCGCGGGTGTGGCGCGTCGAATTTCCGCCCGAAGAGTTTTTTGGATCGTGCTTCTGACGGTGGTTGTACCACTAGCTCCAGTTCCTCCCTGCACTGTCTGATGAACCTGACAACATCCTGGCTGACCGAGGAAACCAGACCAAATTTCTTCACAAAAAAAACCCGCGAAAAGGAGCAGCAGTGGTTCAGCAAATTTTTCTACAGTCCGGAGAAGAATGTTGGCACCAGCAGCAGCGAGAGGACAAGCTCAAACCATCAAACCGACGACCTCCCGCATCGGGTACAAACGGCTTTCCGAAATTGGCAAGCGAGGCAAAGCTGTCAAAACTTTGAGCATCGTCAGAAAAACGTAACGGGCGGGGATGGCGAAGCAAAATCTAAATCTTCTTCCAAGAAAGCTTCATCAAGAATATTAACGTTGGCAACAAGCATCAGCGAGGATACCATCGCGAATGTGTTGATACCGCGGCCAGAAGTATGCAGCTTCCCGTTTCCGCGCGGCCGCAGCCGGTCCAGAAGCAGCAGCAGCAGTGTACTCATCGCGAAAAATGATCATGCAGACGGTACAGCTGCAGCAGCAGCAACTTCCAGAACTACTCGCTCCTTAGAGCTTGAGAACTTTCTCCTCCTTCACTCGAGCTGTCCATCCGAGTATTCCGTGGTCGAGCGGATCAAGCGGACCGGGCTTGGGTTTCTGCGGTGCTACATCCCGAAAGTGTTAGTTCCCCCGGCGAATTTCGACATATTGGCTGCTTCCAGTGGTACCTCCGAAGATCATGGGAGCAGCCCTTGCTACTATCATGCTGGGACGTCGACCAGGGCAGCTTCCAATGCTGACGGCGACGAGACTAGCACCGTACTGAAAGGTGGTGTGCTTGCGGATAAGATCAACAAACTCCACGACAGCGACTTGGTTCTCGACGGCAAACACGGTTTTCACATGCACAGTGGCATTTACCAGAACAGTTTTCTGACGGACAAGAACTTCACACCCCTTCTTATTGTGAGGAAAAATCCCCCCTCCCCACATCGAAAGCGGAATTTGTGTTGCTGTATTTGAGTACACAAATCACATCTGTCTTGCTGGAGAGGACTGCAGACCCATATCAAGCCTGAGCAGAGAGGCTTTGACTTAGGCGCTTAGCATGAAAAGCGTCGGTGATGTTTGCTCAACAGCATGATAAACCGCCTCCATAATGGGACGGAAGCTGCTGCCCTTGTCTTCTTGCAACACAGACGTGATTTGTGACCTCAAATCAGCAACACAAATTTTTGAAAACCTACCTCTTCAATATGGGGAGGGGGGATTTTTCCTTGCGATACTTCTGAACGCCATGAGCGAGCGGAGGTTTGATGTTGAAATAGAGCATATGCATTGTAAAAATGTCTGGGTCTGGAAGGTTGCAACTTGTAATGCTAATTCTGGATCGTGCAAAAATCTGTGTTGCATGAATGCCAAAAGCTGTCCACTTTTGACCAAGTTGAGAGGAAGTTTCTCACGCAGGATACGCATGATACGGATCTCACAGAATCTGTCATGCTAGGTCTCGCATTCCAGACCTCATGGCTCATGCAAAACGTGCATGACAAGTCTCAGAACCTTCCAGACCCAGACATTTTTACACTTGATAGAACAACAAGCTGACGAACCACTTTTACAGCAATATCAGGATCTACATCCAGGTGCTCCTGAACGAACGCCGCTAGTACACCATCAGCAAAGCTGCAAAAGTCGAGCAGCTTTATTTTTGAACAAGACCTCTGGGCATCTTCAAAAGAAGCCGGCTAGAAGTACTCTCCTTTCCGAGCAGGAAGAGAAGGTCGTGCGGGCGAGGCTGCATTGCTTTCGCACGGAGCTACAGCTCGAGCACGCGGATGACCGGTGGCACACGAAAAGTGCGGGGCCGCAACAGCTGGTGGTGGGAGGGTCAGGTTTACGTTGTATCAACCGGGGTGGCGCAAGAAGAAGTTCTGGAGATGGTCACTTTTGTACTGAAGAAGGGGACGTCGATCCAGCAGCACAGCGACGTCCGGCTCTATCTGTTTCTGTCCTCGCCGCACCAATCTACAACGGACGCATGAAGAAAGGGAGGAAGATGAGATTGACAAGAACGAAAGGCGTGCAAGATTCTGTTACTGTGATGTCAGCAGACGCGTTATCGACTCAAGGGGTCACGAGTCGCACCGCAGAAGCGCAAGCGGCGATCGAGAAAGCGTGTCGCTTTCGGTTTTCCGAGGCGGCGGGCGCACTACAGCTGACACGAGCTGATCGGAACAAGAAGCGGGAAAATAATTCTTGGTTCAGCTCCCGCTATCAGGAGATGGTCGGAACAACTGGCACCAGAGATGATCTCAACGACAACGCTGACGTTCTTCCCGCTTCTACCTTCTACGCACGAAATCGCGGAGACAGGAGTCAGTGCGGGGTGCTCTTTCCTTCGAGCGCGATGGCTTTTTTAGACCAGAGTGGGGGTGGAGGTGCCGTCGCTGGGAAGATGCTGAGTAACAGACCCTTTACAACTACTTCGTCGTCTTTAATCCAAATGCCGGACCCGCGGAATTTGACCTACGACTCCGGGAAGCTCCAAGTTTTAAAGCGCCTGCTCCAGCAGTGCTATTCGAAGCAGAACCGCGTCTTACTGTTCACCCAGTTTGGGAAAATGCTAGACATACTCGAAGAATTCCTCGCCGTGCACAACTACACGTATAGTCGGTTAGACGGAAAAACCAGCAACCCGGATAGACAAAAACTCGTCGACGACTTCAACGAGAAACCAAACACGTTTATCATGCTCTCCTCCACCAGAGCGGGAGGCATAGGGCTGAATTTAACGGTATGCATTGCAAAAGTATCGTACTAGTATAAAGTGCATTACAAATTGGCTTAGCATTACAAATTAAATTTGTAATGCGGATTTACCTTGAGAGAAAAATTTGTAATGCATGATTGCAATTACTACGAGCACGATGCTTTTGCATTTGATAAACGGGTGCCAACGTGGTCATTTTCTACGACAGCGACTGGAATTATGGGAGTGTCAGGATCGAAATCGACAGAGTTGAAATAGCTTGTAATGCATAAAACCGATACCAGTCGGAAGCCCAATTTCGAAGCAGCGCATGACAAATTTCGACGTCATCGACATCCAGTTTGTCATGCTGTTTAGCGAAAGAAGGCATCCTCTGTCATTCTACTTTAGCAGCTTTATCCCAAACCCGAAACAGGCTCTTCACAATTGGCGTCTCTTGCAATCCCTGCAAGACAGTCACTTCGTGCCTTGCATTTCATGCATCACAGATCATTTCAACTTTGTCGGTTTCAATCCTGACACACCCATAGGAACCCGGCTACGGACCGGCAGGCCATGGACCGGGTGCACCGCATTGGGCAGCTGAAAGACGTCCACGTGTTTCGGTTGTTGTCGAGCTTCACGGTGGAGGAGAATATTTGGCGGAAACAGGTGATAAAACGGAAATTGGATGACATGGTCATCGACGAAGGGCAATTTCAGCATTTGGCGAAAGGAAAGAAAAAAGGTGTTGATGGGGAGCAGCAACATGGACAACTCCACAACTTGCTTGACGGGGTGTTTGACGACCGAGCGTTGCTCGGTCGGGGATCGGCGGAGGATGAGGCGCAGGGGCGAGACGCTAGTAGTGCAGGTGGACCGACCAGCACGTTTGACCCGCTCGCCGCGGATGCAGATTTTTTCGCCCTCGAAGGTACGATGTTACATGAGCAAGAGGAGGCGGAAGCTGAAGATGCAGTTGTGGCACAACTACTGCCGGGAAACAAGCATACCGAAAATAAATCTACAACCGTCGCAGAGGAACTGAAGACCGGGGCTTTGCTTGCGAAAGTTGAAGACGTGGAAGATCGAGAGGAGATACAGCTCGTCCCAGAAAATAAATCAGGGACGAAAATTCCGCGGCATCTCGCATTGGCGCAGCTTGGTAAAAAACGAGCCATCAAAGGCTTTACTGGCCGCAAGATGATGACCGGGGGCGCGCAGCAGGAAGCTGCTTCGCTCTTAATTCCAGGTGAACGAGCTGGTCAATCTCATCTTCGCAATTCCACCCGCCTGTCTCCCTTAGCGCAAGTTCTCCTTCGCCAGTGTGGGAAGGTGGTGCAGATCAAGAAGTTGCAAAAGCAGGAGCAGACCCAGATCGCGAATTTGCGCCAACAGGCGAGGCGGGAAGGCATGTCGAGCTTTCGCCTGATAACGGAAATTCGACGGATCACCATGCCCGGGCGGGTTTTGGAGCAGCGACTTCAGGCAGGTGGCGCACTTTTATCCACTTCTTCGATAAAGAACAACGCAACGGGGCCAGGTGCAGGAGAAGCACAAAAGGAAAAGTCGCGGCTCGGTGGTGCTGCTCAGCCCGGAGGTGCTCCTGGAAATATTAACGCGTTTGGTTTTCCCCCACATTATCAACAAGCGAAGCCAAAAGCCAAGGCAAGAGCCTCGAAACCTCTCCCGGATTTCATGAATAGGGGTCCGGCGAATTTGCAGGGACGTCCTGATTCCAAGGGGGTGCACCTGCGCACCCGCGCCTCGCGGGCGAAGTACGCTGCTATGCTGAAGGAGCAAAGGAGGCAGGAGGAAGAAAAGGGTGGGGAGGGAGCAGATGGGCCTTCGGGTGGAGGCGCGGAAAAATGAAGAAGAGATGATGTGCGTTTCCGTTTACAACCTGGTGTCTTTTTTGCTGCTAAAACACAAGCAGTTCCCCACAGACGACAGATGTGAAACTGAAAGCGAACTAATCGAGCATGAATACTAAAAATCTTGAAAGCGAAATTCAATGGCGAAACTCAATCGTTGTAGGCGCGATGACGTTTTTAGTGCAATGCCACTTCCGCATCATGTTCCAGTTCATGCGTGTCCATCAGACCAACTTGCTCTTTACTTCTTAGAATGGACCATGCATGATCTGTCAAGATCCGCTGTTTCTTCTTGTGAACAAAGGGCATGATGTATCAGCAAATCACCTCATCTGCCTCTCCACGAGGAACTTCGTTTATATCGTTTTCGGCTCACTGTCACTTTTCGCTTTCGCATCGATCGACTAAGAGTTAGAGAGGTGAAAAGAACTTCTGAAGCCATATGTTGATGCACGAGTGTAGTCTGGAGATCGTGCCATATGCATCCAATACCAATTCTCGTTTCGCATTCGCAGTAGTTGAGACCAATTACATCGTCTGAGTTTGGTTGTGCATTGATTTCGTCTCGTTTTATTCGTCTCGCTCGATCTCGAACTCGATTCGCGTTTCGATCATGATGATGTTCTCTGCCCGGCCGCGCTAGTTTTCGAGGTCAGGCTCAGATGATAAGTATCGCAAAGCAATGCATCCGCATCGTGTTCGTGTACCGATCGCGTTTTTGCTTGACCTACTTGTTGTGACATGAACGACTGCAAATCGTTGACGTCCTGGTGAATTCCAGTTTGTAGCACGACGTGCTTGTTGTACTATGATCTACCTGTATAATTGACGAGTCTTCACTTCTACAAGCACGGTAAGTTTGAAATCAGAAAATATGGTGGGTTCTGCCAAAAGGAAAAGAGAAAGACAACATCGCTGCTCCGCGGCAAGAGATGACAAGGTCATCTCTTCGGCTGCTAGTAAAGTCGGGGCACAGGCGCATCAGCAGCATTCTACTACTGTCTCCGCTGCCGGGTCGTCCATATTCGGCACTACGTTCATCTCAAACTCCAGACTAGTATCGAAGTGCGGTGCTATTCTCCTGCCCATCCTACTATCCTGCCTTCTTTTCAAATTTCTTCCCCTCCCGGTCGCTGCGTTCTTTGGTCCGCTGTGGACGGAGGAGAACCTCGAGAACTTTGAGCCGAAAGAGGACGGCACGGAGGACAAGTATGAGAGTGCACAACTTCCCCTCCTCCTCATTTGAAGGGCATAAGCAGCAACAGAAGTCTTCGCGTAAATGCAGCTTTTGCATGACAAATTCCGGACCGATTCTAGTTCTGCTTCGGGTCGTTCCGGAATCTGTCATGCAAGGAGTGCCAAAGGGGAAAGAGTGGATTTGCATTTGGTATTTTGCATTACAGCACATGAGGCGGAGGGGGAGTTGTGCACTGTCATAACAAGCCCTTCAAATTCACGAAGGACACGCTGGTTTTCACCAAGGTAAAGGAGGAAGTGAAGACGGCGTTCTGGGAGCAGCAGAAGCACCCGCTGGAGAAAGGTGGTCACAGCCACGATCATAGTGGAGGTCATGAAGGCTGCTTACACGGGGACGACGGCCATGACCACGACCATCACAATCTTCACGAACATTCTCATGATCATGCGCACGATGGACACAGAGCGGGATCGGGAGTTACACCCTCCTCGTCCTCGTCGTTTCTGAAAACTGCAGGGGGTGGCGAGGAAGAGGTGGAGAACGCTGAAAATACTGACGACTTCAGTGTCATCGACGGGGTGCGGATCAGCCTCGCAGATGTTGAAGAAGATCACCTTCTTGGTGGAGGTAGTTTTGCTGCAGCTCATGAACAACAAGGTCATCTTCATCCTCAGGTCGACCAACAGCAGCAGCAGGATGATGTCGGGGTAAAATCGAGTTTTTCGTCACCGGCAACTGCAAACGAAACTGGGGAAACCACAATTTTTCTCGAGCAGCAGCAGCAGCGTCGTGCCGGATACAACTACAACTACCAGCAGCAAAATCCCTATGTGCCGCAGCAGAATCCTATGGAAGCCAGCGGGATCCTCCGAAACGAGTATCTGGATCAGTACAACGACGTGCCAAACACCGGTAAGGCGTACTTTCCGGCGCCGATTCCGGAAGACGTGGTGATCGCTTTGCAGTCCGCCGGGCTCGGAGGTTTGGTGAAAACGCGGCAGACACTCGGGAACCAGCTGGGAATCACGACGCCGCAGGTAGAAGTACTTTCGAACTTTGTATAATATGCTGGCCATGCAAGATGAACCACACAGCTTGTGATATGCGACCTATCAGGCAAGCATTATGCGCACGTAGGGTCCTCTTCTTGTCAAAATCTATGCGTTTTTCATGATCTTCTTTGCAGCCGGATGAAAAGACTTTCAAGACCACTGAAACTCTCCAAAAAATCCAGAGCCTGTTCCCTTCCTCCCGTGCGGCTCTTCTCGGCGGCGCGGCCACCGCCGCCGCCGGCGTCGCCGCGGCCATTGGCGCTGCGCCCGTTGCGTTGCCGTTGATGATCGGGATCGGTGCTGTTGGCGCGGGCACTGCGTCCTCTCTCACGCACACGAAAGTCACTGGAGGGGACTACGAGATCGACCTGGAGAGGCTCCGGCAGGACGTCTTCCGCGCCGCGGCGGACCACATGCGGCTTTCTTGCGAACAAAGACTCGATTGGCAGCACCAGTCCTACACCGTCCGGCGGTGGTTGGACGCCAGCACGGGCGGGTCCGACGAGGGGTGGCCGATGCTGAAAAAATTTTTCGCGAACAGTTACTGGCCGACCTATCAGACGATATCAAATGTAAAAATGTCTGGGTCTGGAAGAATGCAACTTGTGATGCTGAATTTGGATTCCAGAAAAATCTGTATTGCATGAGCAGCAAAGGGAATGCAATTTTTGCTACGCGGACAGAGCATTTGTCATGCGGAATAGGCATCACGAAGCCCTCAAAAAATCTGTGATGCTAGGGCATGCATCACAGACATCATGGCCAATGCAAAACATGCATGACAAGTCTCAGAATCTTCCAGACCCAGACATTTTTACATTTGATAGACGAAGTTGAAGCACGATTTGCGATCCGCAATTTTCGACGAGCTGCTGGAAATATGAACTGCAAAAGTATCGTACTAGTAGAAATTGCAATACAAATTAGCTCAGCATTGCAAATCGAATTTGTAATGCGTATTTGCCTTAAGAAAAAGATTTGTAATGCATAAAAGCAATTAGTACGAGTGCGATACTTTTGCACAGCATAGGAAAGCGATTCCTCCGTCGCGAAGAAGGTGTCGAATTTATTCAACCAGGGACGGCAGATCAAGGATGCGAAATTGCTTTTGGAGCAGATCCACCTGGCGTATGCGGTGAACGAGAAGTTTTGCAAGAAGCGGTCCGGATTGAACCCCGCGCTGGCGGTATCACGGGAAAAGAGTGTTTCACTGTAAGGATTTTGCAACTTTTGCATCACAAGTTTGTTCCGCATGACAGAGAAGATTTGCCATGCGAGATTCCTAAGGGAAAACACAGCTAAAAGTCCACTGTCTTGCATGTGTAGCAAGACAAACACTTCAGTGATGCTTTTTCTGCATCACAAGTTCACAGTGAAACAGTTTGTTCTTGCGATAGGCGGGGAAGTTGTTCTTCGACCCCTTGAACAAAAACATCGGGATCTCCGGCGAGCAGGGGCTTATCAAGTGCAAATATGTCTGGGTCTGGAAGACGACAAGTTTGCCATGCACATTTTCCATGATCCACTATGTCTGTGATGTATGCCATAGCATCACACATTTTTTGAGCGCTTATCGATGCGTATCCTGCATGACAAGTGCCGTCTCCGCGTAGCCAAATTTGACTTCTCTTGCTGTAGCTCAGGCAATACAGATTTTTTTAGCATCCAAATGCAGCATCACAAGTTTTGCTCTTCCAGACCCAGACATATTTGCAACGCATAGCCCTACTTCTGCGGAAATACCACCTCCTCTCGACCAATGACATCGACATGAAACAGCTGTATCGGCAGAGAGTCGACAACTTTCGCTATCCTCGGAAGGCCCTGCACAAGCAAATCCGGGGGGTGATGGGCTACTCCAGCTACTTCGACGACGGGCAGAATTCCGAGTTGGGGAAGAAGTCCCGTAAGTATCGGCAGTTGAAGGGCGGTGACCCAGCGGGGATCCAGCTTTTCCCGCCGGGGCTGGACGAAGAGCTGGGTTCGGCGATCAGCGGGAACAGCCGGCGCCCGTTGCCCGGCCCGCACGCGCTGTTGATGATCCAGCACTTCATGCAGCAACGGATGCTCTTCCCGGAGTCCTGGGGTTCCTTCGCTTTCGTTGGGCAGATGACGGAAGTGCGGGAATGTTTTGAACTCGCGAGACTGACGTACGTCCGGAAGGATTTATCGGATAAATTTTCCACTTTTACCTCCCCGTTACTCGCTTTCTGCGCCCTACGGATCCCCAGGGAGCGGAATTTCCTGATGTGGGCCGAGCAGACGAAAAAGGACTTCCAAAAAATGTCCTTCATCGACAGCAAGAGGACGAACCGTTGGGAGCCCCCGGCGACCGAGGAAGAGTTGAAAAAGCGGTACCGGAAAACCGTGGAGTACGCGCGGAAAATGCAGAAGTTTGTGCAGGCGGTCACCCTATCAAATGTAAAAATGTCTGGGTCTGGAAGATTGCCAGGCTTGTCATGCACATTGTGCGTGACTCCTGATGTCTGTGATGCATGCCCTAGCAGCACAGATTTTGTGAGGGCTTCCTGATGCCTATGCCGCATGACAAATGCTCTTTCCGTGTAGCAAAACTTGGACTCTCTTTGCTGCTCATGCAATGCAGATTTTTTTAGAATCCAAAATCAGCATGACAAGTTGGAATTCCAGACCCAGACATTTTTACAGTTGATACACACCGCAGGAGCTGGACGGAGATCCGTACGCGAGCGAGGAAACTATGCTGCATATCCACAGTAAATTTCCTGTACACGTACAAATGCAGCCACTGCATGACAAAACTTGCCTTCAATCCTAGTCTAGCATGACAAGGTGGACACTGCAAGTTAGCGAAATTTGTCATGCATTTTGTACATGTACACGTACAGGAAATTTACATTGCATACTGCAGAGGTTGAAAAACACAATCACCGGCGGTGGCGAGGACGCCGCACGGGCGCGGAGAGGAACAACTTCTGCGAGAAGTAGTGCTAACTCCGGGAAGAACAGTGGTGGGCAGCTGTTGAACCACGAGTACGTCGTGGATGTGGACGACGAAACGGTTTTCAGATCAATTATGGCGTTCTCAAACGTTACATTCTCAACTGTTTACATGATTTGTCGTGCAAAATGATCATCAAGATCCACACGATCAAGCGGCTTCGCATGACAAATTTGCGAATGGCTAAACAGCACCCAAATCTGTTCGGAATTTGTAGTGCTACAGATGCAACCTCCCCCCTTTCACTTTTCCCATTCTTGCATGACAAATCCATGTAACACTTGAGAATGTAACAGTTGAGAACGCCATATCAATTTTAAGAGAGCGTCCGGACACGAACGGCGCGATCTGGGACGAAATTTGGAACCCGTACGGGGACTTTGAAATGGACGTGGTGAGTGGGCGAGAAAATCAAAAAACGAGCTCCAAAGGATCGGGGAAGAAAGGAGCGGGAACTACAAGTGGAGGATCTTCTTCCTTCGCGGAAAATGGTCAGCAACAACCACCGCAGGCCACCCAGCAGCAGTTTTATGACCAGGCTTACTCGAACCGGAACTATGACAGTGAAAATTTGAAAATCAACGTGGAGCAGCAGCTTCGGTCCACGCAACTGAACAAGATGCTGAAGCCGAAGAAAATGCCCCGGGACCGCCTGTTTCTCTTCGTCGACTACGAGGATTTGCACCGACAGCTGGCTTATCAAATGCAAATATGTCTGGGTCTGGAAAAGGTCATGCTGTTTTTGCATGACACAGAAGGTCTGGCATGGAAGCCTTAGCATGACAGATTTCGAGAATCTTTCGCATTGCCTAATCCGCATGAAAAATCCCCCACTTTGGTGACAGGAAATGGGCATCTTTTGCTGCCTCTGCATGAGAGATTTGTTTGTGTTGCGAAATGCGCATCACAAGTTCGCATCCTTCCAGACGCAGACATATTTGCAATGCATATTGCCGAAGCGGGATGGATCGCGTGGAGCGACAGTTCTTTGACGGGACACTTGTGGAATCTGGAGGACCCCGACCATGCGCGGTACTGGGACAACGATCTGGAAGGCTATCAAATGCAAAAATGTCTGGGTCTGGAAGAATTCAACTTGTGATGCTGAATTTGAATTACAAAAAAATCTGTATTGCATGGGCAGCAAAGGGAGCGTAATGCCTGCTACGCGGGGAGGGCATTTGTCATGCGGAATAGGCATCAAGAAGCCCTCAAAAAATCTGTGATGCTAGGGCATGCATCACAGACATCATGGCTCATGCAAAATGTGCATGACAAGTCTCAGAACCTTCCAGACCCAGACATTTTTACATTTGATAAAGGCCCCGACAAGACGAATACCGGGGACAACACGGCGGATTTCCAGAAGTTCACGTATTTGCCGAAGCATGTCGATCTGGCGGAGCGAGCGAACCAGATCGAGGACATCATTTTCGGCCCGATCGTCTGGGACACGTCGATCAGTGGCGGCAGTAGTTCATCGGGCTTGCTGGCGTTGCAACAACAGAATCTTTATGCATTGCAAAAGTATCGTACTAGTATAAAAATAAATCGCAATACAAATTTTTTCAGAAGGAAAAATGGAATTTGTAATGCTGATTTCGCTAAAGAAACAAGATTTGTCATGCATGACTGGTGCAATTAGTTGTACGAGTGCGGTACTTTTGCGCAGGATAATCTTCAAAACAGTTTGATGCCGGGGATGACACCCGCGAACGCGGGCGGGTACGATTTGTCGAAGTTTATGGGCAACTCGAATCACCCGGAAACGCCCTTCCACCTGCCAGAGTCGCCGAATTTCGGCTTAGGTTCCACCACGTTCTCCCACCAGCACACCGTGGACCAGTACACGTTTTTACCGCGGAGAAGCTTGAAATTCGAACCGCATTCAGCTTTACCCTCCGCTTCCGGGGAGAAACTCCGGGTGGTGGCGGCCAAGCCAGACTCCTCCGTTTCCGCGACGTTTGGCTTATTTCCGGATGAGGCTGATGAGGATTTGATCTCGGAAGCGCTGCATGCGCAGGAGATCAACATGAAGACCGGGGTGGACAGTAATGGAAACCCTGTGCATGAAAAGCAAAAACTGTCCAACGACCTGCGGCGCGAAAAGCTGAACTTGATGACCTGGCGCAGTGCGGGGTATAGGGTTTTGCGCTGCGGGAAGACCTTTCTCCAGTACGTGTATCAAGTGCAAAAATGTCTGGGTCTGGAAGAGTGCGCGATTTGCCGTGCTGCTTTTCCATGGCCCGCGAGGTCTGGAATGCAGGACCTAGCATGACAGATTCTGCGAGACCTTTCTAATGCCTATCCTGCATGACAAACTACCTCCTGGCTTCGTCAAAACTGGACGACTTTTGGTAATCATGCAACACAGATTTTTGCATGCTGCAGATTTAGCATGACAAGGTGAAAATCGGTTTGCTATTCTCGAGGTCATGAGCCCTGCAGATCTTCTGCAGGAAATTTGTGACGCCGCGGCGCATATCCTTGCGGGAACGTATTGAGCCCTTCAAGTATATTCGCCCTATTTTTGCATGCGCGGCGTGGGGGTTTGGAATTGGTGTCGGTCTGTCATTTGCTCTCATTCGGTCGTGGGGCTTCACAGAAAGATACAGGAATCGTACTCGCGGGCGGGGAAAAATTGCATATGGGGCTGTAGATGTAGCTGTAGTCTGTGTAGATCATCATCACTTCCTTTCTAGTTTCCTTACAAACCCTGATAGACTGTTATGTAGAATGCATGAGCACGTTTAGAAGAAAGAATGGCGCAGAGAGAGCAGTTGAGAGAGCGGAGGAGTGAGCAGCATGAGCGAGCAGCATGAGCGAGCAGCGCCGCGGCAGTGCCCGCGGAACGAAAGCCGACGGGACCCGGCCCAGAAGCAAAAACTAGCAAAAGCCAAAAAGAACAAACCGCCGGGGGCCCCATGCCATTCGTCTTCGGCAAGCCGGGGGGCCACAGCCCGGCAGTAGTAGCAGGCGGCAGCAGTAGCAGTGCACTAACTAGATACTAGCTTAAAGGGGTCTTAGCGCAAAGAAAGAGGGGCAAGTCCAAGAGGCTTTTGCATGGGGTCCACTGGTCACCGTTTCGCGCGAGCCATTCGGTGGACGACTGACCCCGCCCCATTTAGATAGCCGCTATGCGGGAGCTTTGTAAAAACTGGACTTCGTCCGTCTCCGGGTGGCGTGCCCGGGGTTCAGTATAAATAAATTTGCCCGGGAAAATACCACGCAGCGGTGCATTCTGGCTTTCTTGTATGCCAGTCGGGGTCTACCCTTTCTCCACGTCGTCAAATGTGGTTATTGGGTTCAGTTGGCATGTGTCAGGGGGTTCCTGTCTTTGGCATTTCCCGGCTCCTCCCATGGGTTCACTTCGATGATTGCCGCCGGGGACGTTCTTATGCAGTCAGCCGGATGACTGTGACCTGGCTCGTACTGTGAACGCAGCTGGATGACTGTGACCTGGCTCGTCTTCGATGGGCAGGCGGATGACTGTGACCTGTCTCGCCCATCAAGATCCCTAATCCGTAGCTCCTAGACGTTGCCTGGCCCGCGAATGACTCCACGGCAGCCGGATGTCCGTGACCTGGTTATAAAGGGCTTCGTCGATCGATTGTGCCACTAGGGCCTTGTGTTCCGGCTACTCCGGATCGCAATCGATGGAGGGCGGGACCTGCACCGGCGACAGGCGCTATCCAACCAACCAACAAGTTGCAATCTTCCAGACCCAGACATTTTTACATTTGATAACGTCGCCGAAGCGGCGATTGTGACCGCGGAACGGTCGTTGCTGATCGCGTGTGCGTATCCTGTGCAAAAGTATCGTACTCGTAGTAATTGCATTTATGCATCACAAATTTCTTTTTCAAGGTAAATCAGCACTACAAATTTAATTTGTAATGCTAAGTCAATTTGTCATGCAATTCATACTAGAACTAGTGCGATACTTTTGCAATGCATAGTGCGGAAATTGACGAGAAGCGCAAGGTCTTCGACGCCGCGAGGCTGTTGGAGCGCATCTACCTGAAGTTAGACGTGGTCACCTCGGCCGCGCACCTGTTGGAATTCGCGGCGCGGGAGAGGGGGATGCCGCCGCCGAAGCACGCGGCGAGCAACGCGGAGACCTTTGACGAGTTTTTTCAGGAACGGAGTGTGTACGGTTCCGCGGGTGCGCGGAACAAGCAGAAGGAAGCGGCGAAACGGTCGAACGAGGTGAAAATGCAAGACGAAAGGGTGGAGAACGCGAAGGAGGATGTGGTTTTGGCAGCGAAAAATGCGAATGTTGCGGCCTCACCAGAATCCACTAGTCGAGTTGGGCCAGAAAGTGCTCCACCTGCAGCTCCAACATCCGTGTGGCGCGCGACGTCTAAAACATCAAATGACGGCTCTGCTGCCAGTCGTGATGGTGGTCCTGCTCTTGTTGCCGGAGGAGCGGGGGGAGGTCAAAGTAGCCCAACACCAGGTGCAACTGGAGGTTCTTCAACAGGAACACCTCCTGCCGGTGGTACTGCAACGGAACCGGCCGCCGCCGCAGTTCCGCCACCGTCAACGCCAGCCGAAAAAGCGGCCGCAGCAAAGCAGCTCGGCGCCGCAGAAAAACCAGAAGAAACTGCAGGAGCAGCAACTGGGGCACACCAGCACCACCACAACCGTCATAACCACCATCGCGCCGATGGCATTGCCAGGAAAAATGCCGAACCAAGTGGGGATCATCTTGACACAGCGACGTTGAGTCACGTTCGTGAGCAACATGAGCATGACAAGCACCAACATAACCCCCATGAGCACCACAAGCATCACAACGCTAACGACGAGGACTCAGACGATACCGCAGGGACAGATTCTGAGACCGATTCCGATGTGGACGATATCAAATGTAAAAATGTTTGGGTCTGGAAAAATGCAAGTTTGTCATGCTTGTCTGGCATGATTCGAGAATCTGTGTTGCATAGGCACGAAAAGACGCTCTTGCCTATCATGCAAAAACGCTGTTTGCCATGCGGAATACGTAAGACATGGCAGCCAAAAAATTTGTCATGCATAGGAGCTGCGTACTGCAGTGCGTCTATCATTCATTTTTAGCATTACAAGTTTCCAGACCGAGACACTTTTGCACTTGATAGACGAGCACGGCGAGAAAATCGACTACGACAGAACAGACAACTATCCAGGAAAAAACACCCATCCCCATCCATTTTTTGCATGACAGATAGTGGATTTTATGCATGCTCTGCATGACAAATTGGATGGGGATGGGTGTTTTTTCCTCGATAACAACGGCAAAAAGGTCCACACACAGGAGCAGCAGCCGGCGGCCGAGGCGCTTGCGCCGAGTGGAGGCGGTGCGGGATCTACTTCGGGATCTTCGCCTACAACCTCTGGTGCATCTGTGCCTCGTCCACCGCCACAAGATGGAACTGCAGGAACAGGAATAGCTGCAACCACTTCATCTTCCCAGCAGCAGCCGTCCTCTCCGGCGGCGTACCAGCCGATCACGACGAATCCCACCGATGTGCTGGCGAATCCAGACACAACAGCGCAAACTCCTTCATCTGCGGCTGCCGAGGACCAGCACCACGGTGTCCACCTGCACCACAAGAGCCGGCACCTCCATGACCACGACCAGCCGGAAGGACCACCCGCCCCCCAGACCGCGGCTGCGCAACCGCAACCAGCTTTGGCTGCAGGAGGTGCGGGAACAGGAACAAATCCTTCTTCGGGGACAAACGCAGTGAGCACAGGGAGCAATACTAGCCCTGTCGTTACAGACACGACAGATGTTCTCAGGACCGCGAACGTTCCTGGAGTCAACAACAACCCGCCGTCGTCGGAAGAACCATCACAATTGTCACAAGGTACTAGTTCATCCTCCCCGGTTCCCCCGGCACAACAGCTGCCGCAAGGTCCTCTGCCACCGCAAGTAGAGCCACAGGGCCTTCCGCCCCAACAACCTGCGGCAGCTGTTCCCGTCGCGGCCACGTCCTCGGGCGCCGTTCCAGGAGCTCCAGCTGCACCGACTGGAGGTCCTCCTCCAACGGCAGCAGCCGCGGTTGCGCCGCCGGTCCCCGTGGAGCCGGTTCCGGCACCCGCTCCGGCTCCGGCGGACAATAGTTGGTTCGGGAGCATTCGGCAAGGGCTGAGTAACCGGCTCGGGAACTGGTTTGGTGGTGGAAGTAGTGGCGGGTCCTCTTCCTTCTTGGAAGTTGTGGAGAATCAGGAGGAGCTGCACCGGAGATTCTACGAACCTCGCCCCGTGTATCCAGAGGAGCGTTTTTACCGTACACGACAAATGCTAGCTGTAGCTCTGCTGCATGACACGACAACTTCTCTCGCACAACGTCATTCAGAGCATGACAAGTCCTTTCATAGGTCAGCTCAGGGTCAGAAGTGTCACGTTTCTGTGATGAACTTTTTGTTTGTGCGGTAAATTTGTGTTGCATAACATGCACGAAAACCCGGCGGTGTATGGCGCGCTGCAGAATGTCACCACGGAGGAACTAGCGGAAGCCCAGAGACAGGTCGACGCAGCAGAGAATAACAATGGTCGCGGTGCTGGTCAACCGCAGGCTCACGCTCAACAGGGCGCTGCTGCGAACAACATGATGATGCAGCCCGGGGTGGCCGCCGGCGTGCCGGCTGGAGCAGCTGCAGCTTTTCCTGCCGCGGGAGGACCTGGCCCTTATGTTGGTCCTGTTGCTCCTGCTCCGGGTGGTGGATATTACCCTGCCGCTCCCGGCGTAGTTGCACCACAGCCACTTCCGACCGCTCCACTGTTTGGTGCACTTCCCGCTGCTCTCGGCAAAGCCGCTGCTGCTTACGTGCAAAACGCGCAGCCTGTGGCGCAGGCGGTTGGAGGCATGGCGACCGCGCTCACGGGGATGGCGCCGCGGGCCCAAAGAGCAATGCAAGCACTCGGGATTCCGGTGCAACAGCTGCCGAGTGCAGCTGGTGTGGTCAACAACATGATCCCGACGCAACTCTTACAACCAGCAGGGGAACAAGCTGCACCAGGAAGTGCTGCAGCTGGCAACACGGGGATAATGGCCGCCCCTGCGAATTGGAATTATGCAGCGCAGCAGCTTGTGCAACCGCTTCAGGGTTTCGTGTCTGGTGCACAGCAGCTGGCAGAGCAACCTTTTGCTCAACCTTCGCCTCCGCCGACTGGTGCGGCGCCGGGGAATTCGCAAGGCCAAGGACAAGTACTTGCGCGAGCGAGGCAGCTCGCGTCGGCGACAGGAGCTGCCTCCCTCGCGCAACAGCCTGGAACAGCGCCGCAGCCCGGACAGCCGCAGGCTCCTACTTCTTTCCTCGAAAAGGAAGAGGAGGCTCTTGCAACAGCGCATCGGCATGATCCGCAAAAAATGCTAACCCTGGCGAACGCAGGCGTCGGTATGGTGCGGCAACTCGCACCCATGGCACCGGCAGTGGCTGCGGTTGGTAAGGAGCAGGCGCGGAGCAGAATGGAACCCCTTGTGAGAAGTTTGCAGAATGTTGAAGAAAACGAAGCATACCGAGTGCAGCAGCAGTTGCATGCGCAGGAAGAGTTGGACCACCAGGCGCAGCTCGAACAGCATCAAGCTGTCTCTAATGCGACCGAAGGGGCAGCAGAGTTGTCTCCAGCAGTTCAACAAGATCAACCTGCCGTGCCAGTGCAGGCACCCGCGCAATCGGAAGGACAAGTAGATCATGCTTCGTTTATCGAGAATAATCCTGAAAACAAGATGCTGACTATGGCGGGCGCAGGTATGGGTATGCTGCCGCAAATCGCGTCCATGGCGCCGAGAGTGGCTGCGGTCGGTACAGAGGCGGCGCGGAGCAAAATGGAACCGCTTGTGCGAAGTTTGCAGGGTGTTGAAGCAGACGAAGCAGAACGAGTGCAGCAGCAGTTGCATGCGCAGGAAGAACTGGATCACCAGGCGCAGCTAGAACAGCATCAAGCTTCTATTAATGCGACCGAAGAGACAGCAGAGTTGTCTCCAGCAGTTCAACAAGAGCCGGGCGGCGCACAGGACCAGCCGGTGGGCCCCCCAGGGGGCTCGCAGTACTCCGCCTGGCTCGAGCAACTACCAGGGACAACTGGCGCGCCGCAATCTCCTGAGAGAGACCAAGAGCGACCGGCTCATGTAGGTTCACATGATACTCACCTCGCTTCAGCAACTCCGCCTCGTGCAGCGCCTCGCCCTCGACGAAGCCTTTCGCAGAGCCTAGGAGCAGCGGCAACGATTGCAAAGGCAAGCGCAGGTATGGTGCAGCCGCTCGCGGGTATGGCACTAGGAGCCGCAGCTCACGGCGCCGACGCTGCGCGACAACAAGCCGCAGCCGTGGGGCAGCACATTCTTCAACAGCACTTTCCTGCAGCGCATGATGAGTTGCAACCTATGGAAGAACAGTTACAGCAGCACCAGGAGCATGAAGAACAACAAGAATACCAGGGCGGCAGACAGGACGATCTCAAACCGGACCCAGCAAGCTCGCAGTACTACGACTGGCCCGAACAGCACTCATCTCAAGCAGGGTCGTCCTTTCCAGCGCAGGCAGCTGCCGCGCATTCGGAAGGAGACCAGCAAGAGCGCCGACCGGCTCATCACCATCAGCACGGAGGAGATGCACATCGTCAGATCCCGTCCTCAACAGCAGGAGCCCCATCATCCACTCCACGTGGAACATCAGCAGGAGCACCTCCTCAGCGACAACTGCACAACCTGGAAACAATGGGAACCTTTGCAAAGGCAGGCGCGGGCATGGCGGCGGCGCTCGCGGGTATGGCACCAGGAGCCGCAGCTCGGGGTGCGCAGGGAGTTGGACAGAGAGCCGTACCGATGGTACAGCAGGTTTTGCAGGGTGGTGCTGCAGATGCTGGTCATGATGAACATCAACCGGAAGTCGATTACCATAGCAATGCTGGTGCCGGTGGAGCACACGGAGTGGGTGAGCAAAATCTTCACCACGACTCTCGTACGTCTTTTCTCCAGAAGGAAAAGGACATGCTGATCGGGGAGTGGGACCCCAAATCGAACGAGAAAAACGAGGAGATGCGGATTGTGACGCACGTCTGTCTGGATCCCTTCGAGGAGTTTGCGGGCAACAAGCGCACCGGCACGTCCGGCATTTTCCAGGACAGCTTGTTCGGTTCGAAGGTGACGTTTGAAGAGAAAGTATGGATGTGTCAGGATTGAAATCAACAAAGTTGAAAGAATTTGCGGCGCATAAAACGGATACCAGTTGGCGGCCAGTTTTCAAGCGGCGCATGACAAATTTGGGAAGAACCCAAATCCAGTCTGTCATGCTGTTTGGGCAAGGGCGACGCCCTTTGTCATGCTACTTTAGCATCTTTATTTTTACCCCTCAACAGGCACAGGCTAACAATCTGCCCTACTTGCCTACTCTGCAAGACAGGCACTTTGTGGGATGCATTTTATGCATGACAAACTTTTTCACCTTTGGCGATTTCAATCCTGACACTCCCATAGAAAGCGAAAGACAACTGCCAGCGCACCGTCCGCGAGTACCTGCGCGCGGGCCAGATGCTCGCGGGCGCCATGGTGGAGCAGGCCAAGCGACGGGCTAATGGCGAGGCGTTCGGGAACGGGAACCATCTGGACCAGGAGATTGGACCACTTAGCCCGCGGCAGGCGCTGGAATCCTTCGACATTGGCTTGCTGTACGCGGCGGCCATGTTGGAAAAGTTGCTGGTGATGCAGAACAAATTGTATCTCCGGCAGGATTTGGAGGAAAAATTCATGGAGGAGCACAGGATCGTCGACGAGGATTTGGATGAAGTGCGGCAGACCATCCGGCTGAAGATCTACGGGGAGCATTACCTGGACATCCGCGAACTCTTTCGCCTCCGGCACTTTTCGGACCGGTTCCGGGCCCAGTTTCACGCGAACGACGACACGTTAGGGAAAACCGAAAACCGGCAAACCGCGGACCAGCTGCGGCTGAAAACCTTCATTCTCACCGGGGACCCGAACCCCTTCGCGCGGGAGGCGCAGATGTACGCGGAGATGGGCGTGTTCACCCAAACGATTTCCCAAGCCAGGGAGGCGGGCAGCGTGACCAGTTACGTGCACAACCACGGCTGTTTCGTGATCGCGGACGCGGGGCGCGATCTGAGTAACGAAATGCTACCGAAGTGGAACAGTTTGACGCTGGTCATCAAAGAAAGTGAGCAGAAAGAGGCGGACAAACAGGGGCCGTATGTGGATGAAGCGTATTTCGACGAGTACTACCAACCGCATCAGCCCCCGATGTTTCCCGCCGCACCGAAATCAGAGGAGGAGCAGCGGGAGGAAGAAAATAACGACGAGTACTACTGGGAAATCGACAACGAGACCCCGGCGGAGAAGCAACAGCGCGAGGAGCGCCAGGCGCGGTACGTGCAGGAACAGGATTGGAAGGACATATCAAATGCAAAAATGTCTGGGTCTGGAAG